AAAACATTACCATTGCTGTTGACTTGGTATATCTGTTCTCATTGTCTAAATGGCATTTTCCATCATGAGGGATGACAATTCCAGCCAACTTGCTGTCCATTCCAAAATGGGTATCAGCATCAGTCACAAATACCAACAAGTGTAAGGAATCATTACGCCAGCCAATTTTTTCCTAAAATAGAGATTATTTTTAATACTTCATCAAATTGTTTGTTGATACTTTAATCAGTTTGTTCCCAATCTGCGTGGCAATGTCTAATGGTACAGCAAGGTATATTCAAGAGGTTAATTTACCTTACAGACAGTTGCTTGTAATATTGCATCAAATCCTCCTTCAGTGTCATCTACATTTGCAGAAATTTGCTGTTTTTGAACAACTTCATTAAATTTTGTTGTGTCTTCAGTCAGCGAAAGCATGTGTCTATAACCAAATGTAGGCAAACATTCTGTGTCCTGAGTCCTATTTAAAGAAAAACAATATTTTTCCAGTTCCATGCAAAATGAAATTCCGAATGTAGCAACAGTTGAGTTTGCAAAATATTAAGCATGTCATGAAAAGGAGTACAGCAGAATTTAGCACAATCAGTTGAAAGAAACTTAGAAGATTTTTTTAATCAGGAAAGGGTGAATCCTGTAAATAATGATTATGTGCATTTTATAGCATTATCCTTGATATTCCAGGATAAACTGAGAAAATAGTTGCACAGTCATGATTGTATCATTTTGCAGTCAGAAAAAGAAAATCAGAGCACTGAACATATCATTTCTACCTAGCATAAGAAGAGCAATTATTAGCATAGCTCACTTTTGTATTGTATTCAGTATCAACTGGAGGTAACTTGTTATTTTTTTTGATTATGTTCACGTGTTTAAATGCTTTGAGTGTAGCAGGCATACCCAAAATTCTTTAAATGTGTTAATTTAATGTAGATACAATTCTGGAAAAGGAAGAGAACCCAGGAGCACATTTTCAATCCAGTTTGACATTGTACCCAAATGGTGTGAGATATTGCCTCAGGAATTTTCATATCAATTGTTCATAGCCAAGTTAAGACTTATGGATTATAACACAAACATAGCATCACTATCTGATGCAAATCTCTCTGCAGTGCAGCTTAAAGCAGTGGAGTAAAGATGTCCACAATTGATATTTATAATATTAATGAAACTAAAGAGATATAACTTGTGAAATAGATATATGTTTTGAAGTGTATTATTTGTATAATCCAAAGTTATATAGACCCATTTATTTTTACAGTCTTGAAGCTAATCAGCTAGATTTCCCTTAAATTCAGATAATGGAGAATATTCCCACACAAAAATTGATTGATAAACAGGGGGTGACAATTATATTGGACCAAATTTTGTTGCCAAAATAATGATGAGGCTGATGTGCTCACAGTTATGTCTGTAAATATAACAACTGCAGATGCAGTTAAATTCTGATATCAATCATTTGCCATTCAAGTTTCAGTGCTGTACTCTGAGCTTTGTGAAATTGGCACTTGGCAATGTACATGCATTGTATGACATACGATTGCTGCATTTGCTTAGTAGGTATGAAGTAAATTGACGGTAGAAAGTTAAGTCTTGTCATTGATAGAGTAACCATCCTTATAACTAGTTGATAATTATTAAGTTCCAGCAATTGAGCTCTTTGACTCTGAAAATTATTTATTACATGCATGGAGTCTATTCCTAACAAAAGCAGTTTTGAACTCCATTTACTCCAGCTTTACTATGCAATTTCCATCTGCCGGTGGAGTTTCAGTATTAGCAAAGAGATAATTAGCTTATTTAATACCATCTATGTTCTTGTTTATGTTACATGTGCAAAGACAAAGTCTATTCTGGAGGTAAGCAAATTGGAAGTCATTCTCCCCAGAAAGTCTTATTCTATTTAGCTTTTTTCTCTCCATCCAGTTCTAATTGTTTGAAAAGTTTTACTCTCGTATGGCTGCACCTGATTCATACCTTTGCAAACTGAAAAAGCTGCCAGCTGCTATTTGGGTTCTTTTAACACTCGGGATTTAAAGTGTAAAATGTTGGTCTTGTATCAACTTTAAGGGTGGAAACATTTTCACAGTAATATAATAGCATTAGAAAAAGCTCTTGTAGTCTGTTCCACCATTCAGCTGCACCAGGACTGATTGCTCCATCCTGCACGATCCCTATTATTGCAAGTGTCTGTTGATCCCCGCTTTGATGTATTCATGGACTCAACAGGTTAGGGACAATAATTTTCTGTGGTTTAGGAGAACAGCAACTTTGACTAGGATTAAAACCTGTTTTTAAATTTGCTCATGGGATGTTGTTAACACCAACATTTATTGTCCATCCCTAGTTGCCCTTGAACTGGGTGGCATTAGAGGCTAAAGTACTGTATAACGTCTTTTTAGGTTGTCGGAAAGAGATGATTTATTTTGGGTCAGGATTAGTACAGAGGAACGTTATCAATAAGATTATTTTAAATAACTTCTTGGTACCCTGACTGTTGTACACTTGCTGGACTCCTGAAGAATATATGAACATACGCCCTGTATATTAAAATCAGTATAAATTGCGTACCAGCAGGGATTGGCTAAATCCTTCGGAGTCGTTTTGATGAAAGGAGACATTGGCTTGTCTACGAACGCTCCAAAGCCCAGTTTAAAGTTACTGGTCAGTTTGGCCATTTCTTTGGAGAGAGAGGAGCCCAGTTCTTTAATTCTGTTCAGGTCATCGATCATAGAGGCAGAAAGGTCCATTAGGTAGTAAATGTCGACTGGGTAATCTTCAAACTGCCGCACATCCACTCCAAATGTCAGCTGATTGCCTGTTAGAAAGTTATATGATCAATTTATAAACAAACACCATGCTTGAGGTGCTGAAAATTGATATCAGAAAGAAATATCTGATCAAATGCATGACGCCTACTACCTTTACGTTTTGATTTATAGAGAGTTTCAATTCTTATTCATTCTGTTCATTTAAAATTAGGGGTTAACAATTGAAATGGAACTTTACTGCATAAAAAACTAAATTCAGCATCTTTATCCATTAGTTTCCAGTACAGTGACATTATAGATTATAAAATTATTTTACTTAGTCCATTTGCACGTTGTTAATCACGACATTGTGGGTATTCAATGATTATCTTTTTTTTAAGAAAAGCAGGAACCTGTTTTTCAGTTCTATTTAAAATTGATCCCTTTGACGGAATGTTTAAAACCAAAATTTCGCTTTTATTTCACTCTTATAACAATTTCAAGGCTTCCTGATGCAGGCATTCCAAGGCTATAAAGGAACTTATCGTTTGCCCAGGTCGCATGCACTTATTATTACAGTGAAACCTTGTGAAAGTTGCTTGAAGTTTCTTTTCAGATGCATCTGCGGGAATACAAGAACACCACTTCTCATCGCGTTTACCTGGTCGTAGGTTAAGTGCAAGTTTTTGTGGGGACATTTGTATCCTTTTCCCGTCCCTCTTCTCGCTGCTCAAGCTCACAGGCTCGCCTTTTACAACTCGAAGGTCGCTGAAAGGGGACTCAATAAACTCCCGAGGGCATCCTCGCGACGAAAGATTGTCAAGGGTGTCACATCTTCCACCAAAATTTGAATCGTCACTGAAGTCCTAAGATAAACAATACATATTCGGCGCTTAGATCTACCTTGGTAATGTAGCACGAATCTTGAAATGTATTAACAATCATATTTCCTTTGCGTACATTCTTAAGTATGCCATCCGGTAATGTTTAAGTTTCCAAACCAATGTCCCATTTGAATTTTCAAAACATACTTAATGTTTTTGAATATCTACTATTTTTATAACAATATGCTGCATACGTTTTGTTCTATCAACTTGCATTCACTCGTCATGTAATTTGAGAGGAATATTTGTACAAGTTTGTTCAAGACTAATTTTGTAAGCCTCAGGCTACTTAAATGAGTTAAAGGCACATGTAAAGCAACAGATAGGGTTTGAGTTGGTATAAATTTCCGGTTTGAAACACAAATGAGGGCCATATTTTAGGTGCGGATTCATTTTTTAGAACCTCGCCTTCAGAAATCTTCTGTACATGCTATGAGCAAAAGCATTTTCTATAAGTTTATTCATTTACTATAGTTCAGACTGCAATTGCCACAAATACAACGCACATGTCTAGAGGAAAAGGCTGTGGTTTTAATGGATTAACTATTAACTTCACAGTCAAACTCAAGAGTAAGCAGCACAAACAGGAGCTTCCTTTTAACACATTAAAGAAATAAGGAGTAAAGATTGCCCTTTGAAGACGTGGTATTCTTTTAAAAGTGATTGTTGTACCTCCTGGAAGCACCAACCGCACAGCGGCCCAAGCCTCAAACAGTCTTCACAAGTAAGTGCACTTCCAGAAGAGCAGGAACCTGCTATGGAAACAATGGAGGAATTAGTAACCAGAAACTGAACTGGGGGAATAATGTGCCTGCGCCCGAAATGAACGTATCTGAACGTTTGACTGATAGAAGTGACTGCTAAACGTGAACAAGTAGACGATTAGGACAAAAAAAAAAACACTTTATCAAATGAATGGATTAAAATAACGCATTCGGAACAGTACTACATATGCACCCCTCCCACAGAAATCAGTGAAATATTCGGGTGCTAATTCACAATGTCTAAGCAAGGGGATGACACCTTAGGTAATGTTATGCAAAACCAAACGACATTTAAATTTCACTTACTGGACATTTCACTCACAGTATCAGATACCTCAGGTAATACTCAAGATCATGGAGCAGATTTGCTTTTAGACTGCGTAACAAACAAAAAAAAACAGTAAGTGTTATAAACTCACCTTTTGCACGACTCAATGTTTTTGCCAGAAGCAGCACGATTGTCACCAGGTTCACTCCCATGTCTTTGGAATCGGATACACTGTAAACAGATGGAAAGGATGAGTTTGAAGGCGAAGAAGGGTTTGAGAAACGCCTGCTACCTGCAACCTGCAACCTCGCGTTGTCTGGGAGAGGAGCCGCAAACACCGAAACAGGGGCGTGTTCCCTACCTGGGGAGGTGGAGCAGATCGCTGACACTTGGAGTCTCGCTCAAGTACGGCCACCATGGTGAAGCCGGCTCGCCCTTGCTTTTCGCCAGCTTCCTTCTTCCTTTTATGGTAAAGGCAGGTAAGAAGAAAACATGTTAGAAAGCTGTAGGGATTAGTACCTGGCGAAAGGCAAAGAGCTCACCTAGCTCATTGTGAGCTGCCCACTTCCGGCAAATTTCAAGTACTCGAGAGGTAACATTTTGTTCAGAGCTAACACTCTTCATTGCTGCGAGAATCCGGCACACCTGACAGTTCAAAAACTTACAACGTCCTGATCGTTTTGTTTTGACTTTCTAAGTCCAGGATTTTGGAAGTAATTGATGGTTCGGTACACCTAACAAAAATAATATAGATTTACAGGTAACTCTGCAAATATTAGTGTTTGTACAAAGGGCCAGAGGGCACATTGACAAGCCCGAACAATCTTTCCGGGCTCTGAAGTTACCGCGTCACCGGCATTACTTGGGAGAGGCAAACCTGTTGACAATGGGGGCTTGTCCACTCGAAATACTAAGAACAAGAATTAGGAAAGTTAAAATAACGATTTTCATCAACATAATTTAACTGTCATTCTTAAAAAGAATCAACATTGTATCCTGTAACTCATTTCAATATCCCCTTAAATTGCATTAATCCCCTATTTGCCTATTCTATGATAACAGGACTTAATGAAGTATTAAATTCTGTTTCTCTTCACAGATGCTGCCTGATCTGTTGAGTATTTTCAGCAGTTTTGTTTTCAGATTTGCACTATTGACAATATTTTGCTGTTGTCCATTCTATGAACTCATTTATCTTTCTACTTTCTTTTACAATCCCCTGCCTATTTCCTACTATTGTGTAGTTAGCAGATTTTAAGAACATCGGAACATTAAAAAGTAGGAGCATGAGTAGGACTATAGGCTCATTGAACCTGCTCCACCATTCAATATGATCATGGTAGATTCTCTATCTCAATGCCATACTCCCAATCTCTCCCAATAACGCTTGACAACTTTAGTGTGTAGAATCTATCTACCTCTTTCTTAAATATATTCAATGAATCAGCCTGCACAAAATTATGTGGTAGAGAACTCCATAGGTTCACTACCTTCCGAGTGAAGATAGCTTTTCTCAACTCTGTGCTAATGGCATACCCTGTACCCTAAAACTGACATTCTACTTCCAATATCATGTTGAAATTATTTATATGCTTTGAAACGTAATTAGACTTCAGTCTTTCGAACATTAACAAGAATTAAGTCTTGTGGCACAGTGCATAGTGTCCTTGCATCTGAACTACATTGGCCTTGGAAGGTGCATTCAGAATGTGGCCAAACAGGTTGCTTATCAATTAATCTGTAAATTCTTCTGGTATGTCTATGGCAGATAATTAAGAGTGGGAGAATCTCCTGGTTAGTTATGCTTGATACTGAACAGTCCTCCTCAAGATATTCCCTCTGGTGATAGACTGGCTTCCCGTTCAAAGGAAGACTAGCCATGGGAACAGCCATAAGAACATGTTTTTGTCTGCTTCCTGTCACTAGACAATGAAGAGAACCACAAAGAATGTTAATTATTATTTTTGCATCTCAAAGGTGGTTTCTTAGACGGTTTGTTCTGGAGCTATGCATTATTTTAATCTCTTGAGTTTTTCTTTACAAGTTTCTAGCAGTAAAACTTACATGACAATTTTCTATTGCTGCCAGATTAGGTTTATTTGAATTTAATTTTTTTTTACCATTTTACTTACCAATTGTAGCTTCCACTCTTCAAAGATATCAACCATCCTGGAACTCCCTCCCTAACAACATTGTGTATTATCTATACTAAGTGGACTGCAGTGGTTCAAGAAGGCAGCTCGTCACCATTTTCTTAGGGGCAGTTAGGCATGGGCAATAAATGCTGGCCCTGCCAGTGACACCCACTTCCAGTGAATGAATAGGAAAATAAATATGTTCATTTTCATGGGATTTCCTAGTGCAGCTTGGATCTGCAGTCCACTATTGCTGCCTGCACATCTCCCATTTGTTTCTCTATCTTGGAACTAGTTATCCATAAGTTTTGACTCCCTAATCCCGTGCTCCAGCTCCTATTTGCTCTCTTCCCTAATACACCCTCCATCACTCCAGTGCCATCCAGACTGCTCTGAGCTTCTGCATCACTTTTCCTCATTCTGTCCAGTTGCCTGCACATTTTCAGTTGGGCTTAAGTGCTCAACTTTCATTCATTCCTTACAATCTGACCAGAGTTTTCTTCTTGCTATTCTGTTCTGCAGTTCATATTATGTAATTTAGAAACATCCCATAATAATTAACAGGATGGAAAAATGGTTTGCTGCCTGGCAAACTGAAGCTGAAAAGTTCTCTTGAGACAGGATCAGGTAATGTTGAAAGTGGAGGAAAGAAAATAAGCAAATACTTAAGCATAGAGATAGAAAAGCAGATTGGGACAAAGAACAAAAGCAGAGAAAAAGATCAAATGCTTGTTGAGTAAAACCGATCAGAATGAGGTGGTGATGCAAGCTTCCTCTCTGAGGTTCTGAGGTCTAATCAAGGGATAATTTACAGTATAAAATTATAAGATGGAATTCAAGAAGTGACATTGTATGGGAAGTACTCATGGTGATGAAATTGACAGTAGTGAAAGCAAATCATGGACAATGGATAAAGATATTTTGGTGGAACCAGATAACAATTAGTGGGGTTTGGTGACATCTTTCTTGTCAGAAACATTTTGCAGGCTGGTTAATGGTTAATTGTAATATGAAACGACCAAATTTGAGCTAGAAGTCTAATACCCTGCTGTTTTTTTTCTGTGACAAATGTAGATATGTTAAATAAGAAGATAAAACGGAAGGTTTCTCAAGTGAGTAATTTCTAAACATGTTTTATGACTGTTCTCTATAAGGTAAAATATATAAAAGTTATCAGGCAAAAACTTTGCGAAAGCAGCCAAGAGAGAATTACTTCAGTTGAGAAGTAAAGCTAATCGAACAAAGTCATAGTAATAGATGAGATAACAAGGTGTAGAGCTGGATGAACACAGCAGGCCAAGCAGCATCAGAGGAGCAGGAAAGCTGACGTTTTGGGTCGAGACCTTTCTTCAGAAAATGGTAATAGATGGATCTTTTCCCCTATTCTTACAGTTCTCCAGAGAACTTAGAGACAGCGGTTACAAGGTATGTGCTGTAGATATATGGCTATTTGTTTATTTTCTTATTTTCTTCACACACAATATAAATTATCATGATTCCTGCATTTATGACAGTTATGAGATTAAAATATATTAATATATATGGCGTATTGTTATATATTTCTATGGGAAAGGGAGATTGTGAGCATTTCCTTGAAGGTTGACTCCCCTTGAGGGATAGAAAGGGAAAGGGAAGGGGAAAAGTATGTGATGTATCAATAGGAAAGAGCTGAACCCTCATGTTACACAGTTAGGTCAGTGTGGTTAATTCCTATTTGTGAGTTTACATATTTACAGTGCGAGTGTGCTAATTCTAGAGGTGAAGCAAAATCAGTGAATATTACAAGCTGTACTTGAGATTACAGTCTAAAATTTTTTAAAAATTGAATGGTATAAGAAACCAATGGCGTTCTAACCTAGATGGGAGAAGTGCACTGTCTTTCTGTACTCCCACTACTCCACACAACACAACATAAATTTAATTTGTTATACCCAGTCCCTAATCTGCCCAATTATATGCTATATTAATCTTAAAATAAGAAAATCAATCAACCAGGTCTCTTTAATTAACACAAAATTATTGATTTATTCTAAAAGAACCTATTCAATGAATTGGACTGACAGGTTGTAATGTGAAAATATGCCAAATGAACTGCAGTGGTTCAAGGCAACAGCTCACCATCACCTTCTCAAGGGTGACTAGGGATGGGCAACAAATGTTGGCTGAGCCAGCGACACCCTCATCCCTTAAATGAATAAAAGAAAGTAATGGTTACCACTATAAATACCACAAAAAACATACAAACATATTGCATATTTTAGGTAAAGGGAAAAAGTCAGATTTCACTCTGCCGTAATTGACCTCAGGAAAAAAAAAATTTGGTAGATAAGTCTTTGTTTTTGAAAACAGAAAAGGATAATGATTGATATAAAATAAAGAATTGCAGATGCTGAAAATCTGAAGCAAACACAGAGAATGTTGGAGAAACTCAGTAGGTCTGGCAGCATCTGTAGAGAGAGAGAAACAGAGTTAGTGTTTAGAGTCCAGTGACCCTTCTTCAGAATTTCACGACACTGTTTCTCTCTACACAGATGTTACTAGACCTGCTGGGTTTCTCCAGCAATTTTCATTTTTGTTTGTAATGAGTGGAGTCTTGCTTTGGTCTGTGCTGGTGCCTCAATATTTTACAATTTACACAAAGCACTCCATGAGGGGAACAAAGGCATGGTAGCTAAATTCAAAGATAGGTATGCAGGTGCACAAAGATAGGTACAGCACAATCTAGAAGGTTAATGGGATGCTGTCCTTTATTATGAGAAGAATTGAAGATAAAAGTAAAATTATTATGCTTCAGTTATACAGGACATCAGTATGTCCACACCTTGAATATTGTGTGCAGTTTTGGCATCCTTATTTCAGAAAGGTGTATTTATTTAGGTGTACAAAATGATCAGAGGTATAGATAGAGTGGATAGCCAGAGACTTTTTCCAAGGGTGCAGGTAGCTATTACAAGGGGGCATAGTTTGAAAGTGAGTGTAGGTAAATATAGGGGAGACATCAGAGGTAGATTCTTTACTTAGAGAGGGGTAGGGGTGTGGAACACATTGCTGGAGATGATCGTGGAGTCGGCCTCATTAGGGGCATTTAAGCGGCTATTAGATAGACATATGGATGATAGTATAAGGTAGGGGTGGAGGTTAGATGGACCTTAGGTTTAGGGTAAAAGTTCGGCACAACATTGTGGGCCGAAGGGCCTGTACTGTGTTGTACAGTTCTATGTTCTATAAAGGATATAAATGGAGGCAGTTTGAAGAAGGTTTACTGGATTCATACGAGGATAGGTCAGATAGGCTGGGCTTTTTATCATTGGAGATTAAAAGAGTGAGGGGTGATTTGACTGAAGTAGATAAGATCCTCAATGGACTTGACAAGGTGGATGTGGAAAGATGTTACTTCTTGTGGGTAAGTTCAGAATTAAGGGGCACCATTTTAAAATTAGGGGTTAGCCTTTTTGGATGGGTTGAAAGAAAATTCTTTTCTCTCAGAGGTTTGTGTGACTTATGAATTCTCTACTTTAGAAGGCCTTGAAGGTGGGGACCATGAAATATTTTTAGGACAGAGGTAGATATATTCTTGTTTGCAAGGGAATCAAAGGTTATCAGGGGTAGATGGAAATGTGAAATTTGAATTACAAACAGGTCAGCCATCATCTTATTGAACGGTGGAGTGGGATCAAGAGGCTGAATGGTCTACTTCTGCTCTTATTTCATATGTTTGAATCTATTCACAAGCCTGGAAAAAACTGTTCAAACAGGACAGCCATAAAACCAAATCATAATAACAGCCAGGTGTGTGGGAGTACAGACACCTGGTATATTTGCACATAAGCCATTAATGTTGGAAACACAGGTAGAGAGAACACTTTTCTAGGCTTCATTGAAAGAAGCATAAAGAACAAGAACAGGGAGATTATGTTGAATTTATATAGGACACTGATTAGACCTCAGCTGGAGTATTCTGTACAGTTCTGGGTGCCACCACTTTATGAAGAGTGTAAATGCAGAGAGTCAGTGCAGTAGCAGTAAATTGAACCTAAATATAAGGATCAATAAAGTTTAACTTGATTTATTTTGATCTTTAAAATCAAATGAGTTTGACACTCCTGATCTTACGTAACAGAACATGTCATCATAAAATAATGTCTTGTCCAACTTATTGTGACAAACATCATGGTAGATTAGCTACTTGATCAAAGTTAGTAATTCCAGGCAAAGAACAAGACACAATTTTGCTAGATAGGAAAAAAAATCATCTGGAATGGTAGAGGATACTGTTCCAAAGGTGCAGTAAGGATTTGCCAACATCAATGCAAAGAAACCATACAAAACTGACAAGGACATTTCAGAGAGGTAGGATCGTGGTGTACAAGAATATGACAGTTGAGATAAGGTAAATAACGAAGAAATATTTCCATTAGCTGATGCTAAAAGAAAACAGATTTAAAGTTTGGGCAAGAGATAAAAGGGGAATGTGAGAAAGAATTTTTAATGAGCTGGAACTCACTGCACATAATAATGGTGAACCAGAGACAATCAATTATTTCAACAGGAAGTTGGATAGGCTCTTAAAGGAAGAGACAAAGAGTGACTGGATTACTTCACAGAGAGTTGACAACAACGCAATGGGCCAAATAGCTTCCTGTTGTGGTAATTCCTCTATGAACATTCTACCCAAAACTAAAACTTGGGCGGAAGAAGGCTAAGAGGAGATCTGTTGGAATTTTTCAAAATAATTAGATGTTTTGATAGAATAAATATAAAGAAACTCTTTCTCATAATAAAAGGATCAAGAACCAAAGGGCACAGATTTAAAATGATTTCCAAATGTAACAAATGTGAAAAATAACAGTTTTCAAGCAATGAGTTGTTTTGGTCAGGAATACATTGCCTGGAAGTGTTCTGGAGGCAGATTAAGTTGAAACATTCAACAGGGCATTGGACAGTGATGAATAAAATGTGGCAGTGATAGCATAATAGGCCGAATGGTCTCAACTGTGCAGTAAGAATTCTGTGATTCTGTAAGTTCACAGAAGTCATGACAAATTTCATTAATTATCTAGCCTTACCTAACATGACTGACAGTGCTGTTTCTAAAATAAATACGGGACTAACAAAAGCCTGCAACTGCAAGCTCCACAATGTATGACTAAAATGTTTCAAGAAATGGCCTAACGAAGAACACAGTTGTCTACTTTGAGCATTTTCTCTTCCCCATTACAAGAGCCACATTTTAAAAAGCACATAAGTGTCATACATTACTTCAATTGAAATTATAGTTTGAACTTTGTCACTAGGATACACTTCAAGTAACATTCTCAGTTTTCCTGAAATGAGCCGAGATTTTTATGTGTAGGGGGTGAATAAACTGAAAAACAATATTAAACTGCCCAAAAATAGTCAATGAGACTTTTTAAACTGACCACTATAATTTAGCAGATGGCTAATTCTATTCACTAGGCAGCTGTCTGTGATAAACATAGATATTTAAGGACTGAAGACCATGGGTTTGATATTGTTCCAGTGATGCAGGACCCCTATTGGTTGGAAAACCAATGGGAACTTCACATTTTTTCTCTGTGGAGGAGGAGAGGGTTTCGATGATGTAACTCAATCTGGCACTTGATAAGGTGTCAATCAAAGGTTACTACCTAAAAGAAGAGCTCATGGTGGAGGGCCTAACATTTTAGCATAGATGGATGATTGGATTTGGATACTGTAGGGAGGCAATAGCTTCTCAGGGGAGTGCACTGACAGCCGGGTTTCTGGTACTGTGACTAGTTCCACTGAAATGAAAGGTATATCAGGTTCCAAGTGATCGATTGTAACAGGGTACTCTCGAGTCTGTGGGACAGACAGACATTTCTGCAGCTGTCAGCGAGACATCAGGATGGTGTGTTGCCTCCCTGGTGGCAGGGTCAAGGATGTCTCAGAGAGAGTACAGAATATTCTGAAAGGGGAGAGTGGCCAGCCGGAAGTTGTTGTGCAGATTGGTACCAATAGCATAGGTAGGGAAAGGGATGAGGTTCTGCAGAGGGTTTTCTTTGCTTAGACTTCAGAAGCTAGTTCGGAATTAAATTATGTTAAATACAAATTTCTTGGAAGATTCTAACATATTCCGCTGATTCCTGAATATTCTTTGACAATATGACCAATTATTTGATTCTGAAAGGACACCTCTAGTGCATCCGTTATCACTTTCCCATATTCAGAGAGAATATAGGAAACTAGGTAGGAGGTCAAAAAATAGGTCCTCAAGGGTAGTAATATCTTGATTACTGCCAGTGCCATGTGGGAATGAGAGGAGGAATAGGAGGATAGAGCAAATGAATGTATGGCTGAGGAGCTGGTACAGGGGGCAAGGATTCATATTTTTGGACCATTGGGATCTCGTCGGGGTGGAAATGATCTCTATAAGTGGGGTGCGT